TAGTATTAAAAAAACTACTTCACTGTGGTTAAAAAAGCTTTTTTATTTAGCAACTTGCTATGATAACTGATTTGAAAATGTATTTATGCTAGTTACACCTCCTGTTTTCTAATAAAGATTGAAACATTCAGGGTTTGAAGCATGTTTTGAAGCTTTTGTTTCATACTACCATCACAAGTATGAGCTCCTTTCTTCCTTGGTGGATGTCACAAAAAAAATGACATCATGTGAGCCTTGAGGGTCGTTGGGAAGACAACCCTACCCACATGGAAAAAACAACATGGCTGTTCAGAGCCAGGAAAGACCTTGGATGCGCAACACTATAGTTTAGTATCAAAATGTTAATACATCAAACAACACAGAAATTAGTCTGCCATCCTAAAACATATACCCACTATAATACATACAGTATTCCATACCTTTACATCTACAGCTACACATTTTTWAAAAAAATGTTGACACTACTTTATAGATTAACATAAAAGCATCTTAAACAAATGTAGTTTTGCAAAACCTTTATTTACAATGCAAAGTCCACCATCTCAATCTGGATAAAGAAGACAGTCCAACTCCATCCTTCTTGCRTGTTTCTTTGCAAACACATCAACAATGCTGTCAAGGTCAACGTGCTTGCTGTAATGAATATGAAGCAGTGCCAGTGAAGAGAGACGCTCCTTACCCATCGATGCCCGCATGTAGTTGTTGAGGCGACGAAGGGCACCGGCACTGCGCTCACACTCGCAGGATGTGACGGGGAGCGTACAGGCCAGCCGGAGCAGGACRTGCAGGTTGGGGTACATGTCTCGGTCACACTCTTTCAGGGAACTTGCTGGGGTGTTTGGCCTCTGTGATTCAGGCACTCTGTCATACCTAACAGAACAGTTGGTAAAACAGAATTTTTTTATGTAGCAATAGTATTGTAACATTCAATTTCTAAACCAGCTTCTTGGATGCTTAACTTCAAAACAACTTCAACTTCCACCTTGTAACCTCCTGGTCAACAAGTTCTGGAGAGGCTTGGTCTTCTGCATACATGCTGACAATCTC